TTATCTTACTGCAGTAAAGTCATCTGTGCCTTAGGTTTACATCAAGGCAGCAGTTCCCTTTAATCTACCACCCTTATTCCAATTGTATTTGTAGATCTAACAATGTCCCCAGCACTGTATTATGTCCCTGCAGTAGAACTTGGTTGCAATTGTTTGCTATAGCTCTTTAGCCTCCTTTAAGCCAAGAACCTTTCCCCAGCCTTCCTTGATCTTTTAGGACATTGAAAAGTCAAAGGACTTTTGTGAGGACCTTGGGCAGAGGAGGTCTTGCCTAGTGGTTTAGAATAAAGACATTAGTGCCCAGTTGCCTGAACCTAGCCCCACTGGGCCACTCATTAGCTCTGTAAGAGTGGCAAGGTTGTTCTCACACTCTGTGTCGTAGCTGATCACCTTTAAATTCTGCAAACGATGGACCCACCTGGAAGGGTAGTTATGAGGCCTGATACATGGCAAAACCTACTCTTGAAGTGCTTAGAGTACAGTGGGTCCTGGCACTTGCAGTCATGGGTCAAGGTCAAGGCCAGTCAGGGCTCTACAGCAACAGTTCCTGGCTCACCCTGCTGGCTGTTCAGTAGACAAACAGCCATATCTGGAGCTAGGAGCAGCTGAGGACACAGTAGGGACATGTCAGTGCAGTAGGTTTTAACACAAGGATGTTCCAGCCTCCCCAACTGTGACAGTCAAGACCAGCTAGTACCCACCAGATGGGACACTTTCTAATTAGCAGCGTGGCCAATTGTGCATGGTTGAGGTGTACTTGGAGAAGTGACCTGGGAAACACTGAAGCCACACGCTGCCTGAGCATCAAGTGGATGGTGTTTTTACCCTCAGACACAAGGGGAGTTCCAGCCACAGAAAAAGGACACACTCTTTCCACCTGTGTGATGTCTTTTTTTAATTTTTGAGATTATAATATAATAACATCATTTCTCACTTCTCCTTTCTCCCTCTAACCCTCTCCTATATACCCCTCCTTGATCTCTTTCATGGCTTCTTTTTTTAAATTGATTTTTGTAACATGTATATATAGACATACATATTTCTAAACACAACCTGCTCAGACTGTATAATGATGCTGGCATACATGTTTTCGGGGCTGACCACTTGGTATTGGCTAGCCAATTGGTGTGCTCTTCGTGGGGAAAATTATTTCTCTCACTCTGAGCATTCCTTAGCTGCTCAGTTCTTTGTGTAGGGTTGACCCCTTGTGGGTTCCACCCCTTCAACCCCTGTCCACTTTGGCATCATGTCTATTGTTGTTGGTTGTCCCTGTTCAGCTCCTGGTTAGTCAGTCATGTAGGTGAGACTTTATGGGTGAAGCTTCTCTGACAATCCTAGGAGACACAACCTCACAGCAAACTCCCTGATTCTCTTAGCTCTTACAATCTTTTCTCCCCCTCTTCCAAAATGTTTCCTGAGCCTTAGGAGTAGGTGTTGTATTGTAGATGTATCCACTGGGACTGGGCTCTACAACTCTGCATTTTGATTGGTCGTGGTTTTTTTTTGTAATGGTCTCTGTCTGCTGCAAAGAGAAGTGTCCTTGATGGAGAATGAGGACTATGCTTACCTGTGGGTATAAGGACAAATATTTAGAGTGTAGTTAGGGATTGTGCTGGTTTAGTAAAGTGGTGGTTGTAGGTCCTCCAAGATCCGTGACTTCACTGGCCCTAGGTAGCTGGCTAGGTTTCCAGTAGCAGGCACGATTTCCCTCTTGTTAAGCAAGTCTTAAGTCCAATTAGAGAGCGGTTGGTCACCACCAAGGTATGCTACTACTGCACTCCGAGGGCTATTGTGCCATGCTGGTCATTGTTGTGGCTCATAGGCATCACAGCTGGGAAGGACTGGTGTTTGCTTCCCTCCTTTGGGAGCTTGCTTGTGTCTTCTGGTACCATGAAAGTTAGTCCTCAGGGAGGAAACATTCAGGTCAGGTTTAGCTCAGGTGACCTCTGAGCCCTGTGTCTGAAGTACATGGCATCTTCAACAATAAGGGCTTCCCTTCCTCCTGGTGGGGATCCAAGAGCACTAGCAACAGCCTAAACGTTTTGAGAGTCTTAGACGACTCTGACCAGTAACTCAAAGCAGGGCTTTACAAGCCTCCTGTGGCAGACTTTGTTAGGTATTCTCTGTTTCTTGGGGGGCCTTGTCAACCCTGATGTGACACTTTAGGACTGTCCCATGACTTCCTGTAAGCAGGTGGCCCTCCTCTTTCTCTTTTCTGACCTGAAGGAGTAGTGTCTAATGCGGGAAAGAGCACATGAAGGGAGCTGTGAGGGTAGCACAAAATCATGGGTGCAGGGGACTCCGGAAATCTCCATTTATGAAGCTTGAATTTCCTCTGAGGTCATCAATGTAGGCTGCCATATATGGCCTGGCAACTCGTCACCCATCCATGCAGGCATGAGTCCACCTGCCTCTGCATCCATTCAACCTGGCCTAGGATCTGTGGACTCTGCCTCATCTATTACTTGCTCATCTGACATTGCCAACACAGGACCCATTTCATAGACATGCTTTTTATTTTTATTTTTATTTTTGTTTTGAGGTCTTTTGATCATTTCTTTTCTTTTCTTTTGGGGGTGTGTGACTGCTTGCTTTCTTGGAAGGCCTTATGTTCTCTATCATATTCTACCTATTCCTTTGTGAGACTATTTCTCCCTGCACCTGGGCCTTCTGATCTTTCTATCCCAGTCCCCTCAGAGCTTGGTTACAGGCAAACAAGGGATACCTCGTATGTTACACAGGATCCAAATTCCAATCCTCAGGGTTGTGCAACGAGCACTCTTAACCATGAGGCCACCTCTCCAGCCCTATTGTTTTAAGCAACATCATTTCATTTAGCTCAGGCTGGCTTCAAAGTCTCTGTGTAGCAGAGGATGGCCTTTTTGCCCACCTATGCAGGCCCGGGACTGAACTCAGGGCCTCATGCCTCCTAGGTAAGCACTCTACCATAAGCACATGCCCAGACCAGTTTTTAAAGGTTTCTCTATTTTAAAATGCCCAACTTCATTTACTTTAGCTGTTTCAGAGAGAAAATTTTCTAAAATAAATCACAAACCCGGCCTCCTTTAATTTTTTTTTATTTGAAATTGCATTTTATTTTTGTGTACGGGTGTTTTGCCTGCAGATATATATGTCTGTGTACCACCTGTGTACCTGATGCCTGTGGAGGCCAGAAAAGGGTTTTGGTTGCTCTGGAACTGGAGTTGTAGATGTTGTGAGGTACCATGAGAGGCTGGGAACTGAACCTGGTCTATCTGGAAGAGTCATCAATGCACTTAACTACTTAAGCGTCTCTCCAGTCCCAAACTTGCTTTCCTTTTAAGAAGAGACCATGCCTGTCATCTAAGTCTTCCTGGATGATCCAGGCCACTGTTCTGGATGAAAGCCGCTGTTCTGTTGTAAGAGCAGTTGGGGGTGGGTGGGGAGCTGGGGGCGTTAGGGGACATAGGGCTACTCTCTCTCTACACTAGGCGGTCCCAGTGGCTCTGCTTTGCTGTCTCCTTTTGGTACCCTACCCAGAGAGTCTAGGGTTCTGCTTTACCCGCTCTGGCAATTTCTCCTTTATTGTTCTCGAGCTGGGAAATTTATTAACCGGTACTAGACTTGTGTATAAAGAAGAGGCCAAGCTCTTCAGGGTTTTGCGAAAGACTCTTTTATAGTTTTATTGTTTATTGTTAAGCACCGAATCCTCACCTTGGAACTCCTGTGCTTGCTTGATTTCCAAACTGCCTCAATTTAGGAGGTCCTTGGCTGTCTAAATCCTGGAACTGGCCTGGGGTAGATTAATTGTTCTTCCTTGACTCTTACCTCTGTCCTGAAGGAGGGAGAGATGGTAAAGCCATCTTTATTGACTCCACCCTCAAAAGAGGGCAGCAGAGGGAGGAACACAGGGCGGGGCCAGCGGGGTCAGGTGGTCCCAAGTTGCTGAGGAACCGGGGGCAGCTGGGCCACGCTGGGAGTTTGCCTGGGACTGGGGAGGGGTCGCTGCCTCCTCTTGACTCTGGGTGATGGCCAGTGTGCATGAGCCACAGGAGCCCAACAGAGTCTGGTTTCCTCTCCAGGCCTGATGCACGACTGGCATCAGAGGTGAGATGGGCATTTGGCATGGGGGTGGATAAACCTTTAAATGTCCCGCATGTCACAGCAACACACAGTGACTCTTCTCCATTCACAGTCAGGTATGGGCATCATAGGGACACTTTTCTGTAGATGGCAGTGACTTGTCAAGAGGAAACACTGACTGGACGCATTGGTAGAGAATCCCTTTCATGAGTCCCCCAAAGATCTCTGCCCTTCATCCTGGTGACATATACTACTCAATTGTGTCAAACACATTTCTGAACTTGAATACACTGACCCCATTCAGAGACTGACAGCCCCTTACACTGACAATCACACCTCTCATTCCAAAGATGAATGTTCCTAACATGTTTCCAAACAAAGAGATTGTGAGCTACTGATTGTGTATACTCACTAGCACACATGCATCCACAATACATGTTCAATGCAAACGCAGACATGTAAACCAATTCTGCAGGCTCAGACACATGCACCCATTCTGCACCCTTACACACATAGCTAGACACACATAACTAATCTGTACACTCTCATGCACACACAGACATGAACACCCACTCTGTATGCTCAATTTTCTCAGACACATGTACCCATTCTGCACACTCACATGTATGCTCTGACACATGCATCCAATCTGTATCTTTGCATGCACGCATTGCCACATGTACCCATTCTCACTCTTACGAGCATGCTCAGACATACATGCCCACTCCACACACTTACCAGCAGGGTCTTTGATGCCGGATTGGGGGACAACATCCCAACTCTCTCTTCTTCCCAGGATTTTTGTCAACTGCAGCTTTCACACGGACTACACTGTGGCTGGTAGAGAGGGCTGGAGTGCAGGGCATTTGAGGATGGGAGGGACCATGAGAAAGGCAACCAGACACTTACCAGCCTCAATCTACTCGACCCTTCTGCAGCTTACAAGTCCCTGGCCTGTGAGACTCTGGCCTTCAAGTTGCTGCTGGAATGGCTGATGTGCACCAGGTATCCTCATGAGATCCTACATACATGATCCCATCATCCTTATCAGGTGTGGGAGCTCGGCTAAGTGGAAGGCTATGGCTGCTCTGGAACCCTTGTCCACACGCTTTCCCCAGAAGGCTGGAGTTTGACTCACTCTGTGGGAACCTGCTGGAGGTGGACTTTCATAGAAACATGCTACTGGATGTCACTGGCTTCACAACGTCCTTTCAGAGTAAGGGTCAAGAGATAGAGGGGTGGGAGGTGGGAGACAGCTGGAGGATGGAGGGACTGGGGGGAGGGGAGAGAAGTGGCTCTGGATGACTGTCCAGACACCACAAAACAAATGCTAGCCAGACACAACAGAGGGGTAGTGATGGGGGGAGAGACTGGCCAAGGTCCACAGGCCTCTGGGAGCCTCTGAGAGAGGGTTCACTCACCCCGCTTTCTCCTAGAGCAGAGATTGAGTTTCTACCCCAGCAAGTTCATCCAGAGGGGTCGACTTCCCTCGCTTCCATGTCCTCAACACGCTCTTCAGTCTGCCAGGTAAGCGCAGCTGGGGGGTGGGGAGGCGGTCCTTGGGGCCTGGCTCTGGCCTGGTGGACCACTGACTGTCCAGCCTCTCCCTCCCAGAAACCTACCTCTACACATGTCTGGGGGACTTCCTCTCCAGCTGTTCCTCTAAAACCAAGTGTGTCCCACCTTGGCCAGCCTGGGGTGACAGATAGGATGCTGCTGTCCAGGGACCAAACCCCCAAATGGAGGTGCCATCAAGGGGCAGAAGTTCCTCATCCCAAGCTGGAGGGGCTCCAGGGGCTCAGGAGGAAGGGCCCTGCTTTCAGGGTGACCTGTAGCCTTGCTGACCCTGAGGGTGGCTCTCAGTACAAGGTGACTTCCTTCCCCAGATGTCTGGGGCATGAGCCCAGGCTGCCCCAGTGAGGTGAGAGGGGTTCACTCTGGTATAGGCTCTGAGGATGGTGATCACTTCAGTCCTCCTGATTAGTTGACTCTGCTCCTCGAGGTCTGTCCCATTGTGACACTGGCTGTCATCATGGGAACTCTCTGTGTCCTTCTGAGCCTCTTCTAGGATGTGACTGATGACGTGTCCACCGGTCAGCGAGTGCCTGGATCCCCAGCATCTCTGACTTGTCTGTCCTCGGTGCTCCTGGGCAACCCCAAGACCTCCAGTTCCTATAGACCTTATTCAAGTTTCTGCTGAGGACTTTGGCCCATGCCTCCTTGGCCAATACCCACTGTCTTGGACATAGACATGTAGGCAGGGGTGGACATGCATGCATGTGTATGTGCGCACATGTATGTACATGCAGGGCTGTCTCAAAGGAAAGCCTCTGGAGGACATGGAGAAATGCATGGAGAAGGATGTGAGTGGGCACAGATCCCAGATCCTGACTGGCTTGTCCCTGTTCCTCGGGTGGCAGGCAGCCCCCTTTTGCTCATCTCCCTCGAGGTTTACACACACCTCTGACTCTTTGCTATGGAACCTAGGTTGTGGGGGGTATCCATGGCTTTTAAACCCACAAGGGAGATGCCAGCACAGCCCTGGGCGGTCCAGCACTGTGAGGTTGGGAAATCCCTTCTTTGCCCCAGGCATGAGTCTCCATCCTGCTGGCAGGGTGAATGAGGCTGGGAAAAGGTTTTGGGCCACCAACAGTGACTACTACACCTATACTTGTGAGTGTGTGCCAGAGGTGGGGTGGGTGGGGGTGGGGGTAGGGGTGGGGAGTGAGGCCCTGGTTTTTCTCTATGGCCCCAGGGGACACTGAGACCCTGGAGGGAGGAACAAAGGCTTTCTTACCCCCATCACCCTGTCAGCATCTTGAGTTCTAATTTCTTGACCTTTCAACCCTAATTTTCCTACCATGTTGTGCCTGAGGGCCCAGAATAGGGGATGACGAAGTGAAGGCAGAGGCTGGGTGCCCTCTGGCCTAGCCTAGGTCTGACCTCGATTCCTGCCTGTCCCTACCAGGCCATCATGACTGACCTATTTGCTGTCGGTGAGGCACATGTCTTAGGTTTGAGGGGTTAGGGCAGGAAGGTATGTATGTGGAAAGGGCAGGAGGGCCAGCCTCTCCTAGTCCATGAGGAGGAGGTATGTGAATGGTCTTTTTCCATGGGTGGGCAGGACCACTTATGTCCTCCTCAAAGGCCTGTTAAGACAGTAAGATATGCTGGGCAGTGGTGGCACACACCTTTAATCCCAGCACTCGGGAGGCAGAGCCAGGCGGATCTCTGAGTTTGAGGCCAGCCTGGTCTACAGAGTGAGATCCAGGACAGGCTCCAAAACTACACAGAGAAACCCTGTCTTGAAAACAAAAACAAAAACAAAAACAAACAAACAAAACACACACACAAAAGAGAGATAGTAAGATATTTGGAGAGGACTTGGGTGGGGTGAACTAAGTGTCTGGCAGGTCCAGGAGATCAAGGGACAAGCCTTAAGCTCTAATCAAGTATTGCTGGGTGGGTGGTAACTGTGGTCCTGTTCTGTGGCCCTGGAGCTCTCCACTGTGACCATCTCTGGAGGCTTGCCTAAGAGTTCACATGAGGGTAACTCCCGCCCCCTATACAATTACCATTGGTCATTTACTGTCTGTCTTGGCTAGGGATGCTGTGGATCAAGCCTCCTGGTTCCAGGGCCCTGGGGTGTCTCATTAGTATGGGAGGTTGGTGGGCAAGGGGCAGACTGTCGCAGGGTCACACTTCTTGGGCTGTGTATGCCCTTATATATGTCCACGTTCCTGAACCCTGTCCCCTAGGCTGCCCTCACCCAGAACCTAGAGGTCCTACTTTGACCCGATCATGGTAGACACACAAAAGCCTCGCTATTTTTGCAGAAAGGACGGTCCTGAGGCAGGTCAAAACGGTAGTGGCAGTTGCTGATGTCTTGTTTTGTGGCAGGGAGGCTCCCGACCTTAGAGGTGACCTCACCTGTGGCTGCTGCCGGCTCGGCCGGCTTGCCTGTCCCTGGAGACAGGAATCCAAGAGACTGCTTTAGGGCCTGGTGACATTCTTACTCCATCACTGTCATAGTAGTCCCGTCACACAGATCTCCCCAGCCCTCTCTGACCCGAGATGGCGTGGTTCTCTTGGCTCAGGGCTCCTTCTGCCCCTCCAGGACTCTGGGAAGCTCTGTGTGGGTACCTATACTGGTCCCCACCAGCCCCATGCTGTCTACTCTGTAGGTACCGGCTCCAGCTACCTTCTCCTACGCTACCAACACCCCCAAGCTTCCACCCCAGGGCAGAATGGTGAGCAAGCATTTGTCTTTCTTTGCTGCAGCGGGAGCATCAGACACGGTATATGGGATTTTTGGAGTGGGGAGATGGACGTACTGTACATCGGGGGCCACGTCTTTGGGGACATTGTCAAATTTAAGAAGTGGCAGGGCTGGCGTACTTGCCTGGGAGATTCTGAGCTGCCCTGGGAGCTGAGCATCTGTGTGAGAGAGAAAGGTGAGCCGGGAGGGCGGCTGTATTCCTGTCTTCTGTGAGGGGACTCTGATCTACCATGTGATTTACGGGAGGAGATCTGTTCTTTACACAAGAAAGCAGAGACCTTTTTAAGAGGTCTGTCCAAAATCACAGAGGTGAACAGGTCCCGATTTTCTGACTTGAGGTTTCCAAATTCCAGCCAGGGTGGGTTTTCTCGCCCTTCCCCCACCTTCCCTGAGGATTTAGTTTGTGGGAAAGGCATGCTTTCTCACCCGTGAGAGATCAGGGCTTGCTTGCTGTGAGCTCAAACAATTTCAGGTGTGCTGTAAGCACTGTTGGGTCTGAGTCACTGCCTTGTGACTGTTGGAAGCCTGGCCACCTGACTCCCTGAGTGTTTCGGTCATCTGTCAGACATGGCCCTTGCTGTTTCTTCTTTGCTCTGGGTTTCGTCCTATCTAATCTAAGGGGGTAATGTAGGTTATGGCTAGGGGAGCAGAGACCTTTGGTTGGGAGCTGACAGACAAAAGTGATCAGGGACAGTGGGTAACCCAAGGCTGCTACTTACCCTTGCTGTCTCCTGTCCCTGTTATTCAGAGCCGTCAGAGCATCTGGAGAGGCTAGACACACACCTGGCGGATCTGTAAGAGTGCCGATTTTCCTGAGGGTGGTCAAGGTGAGGGATGAGGGCTGGTGGCCTGGCCTGAGCTCATACAGAAACCTAGAGGATGTGTTTTGAATCAGGCTTCCGTAGTGACCCCACTGGACCCCCAGGGGTCATGCTTGCTCAGTGCTTCCCTCTAAGACGTTCCTTCTAACCCACTGGGCACAGACTCAGGGGCTGTCCTTTCAGGCATGTGCACACAGCCCATGGGTGTTCCCCTCTCCTCTGACTCCTACTCTTTATGCTCTGTATCTCCTAATGCTCTGTGTGCCCTCCGCATATGGGGCCGAAGAAGGTCATACCCCTCTCCTGGATCATGTTGCTATTTTTGAACCAGGAACTTGGAAGGGAGCAGTTGTGGGTTACAAGCCCTCAACTCCGAGGAGATTCAGGTAAGTGCTATGTGGTGAGAGAGGAGAGATAAAACCAAGAGGAGATGAGTGAGCCTTCCCTTGCCTGTCTAGGTCTAGTCTAATTTGTCTATTTATTATGCCCCGCTATTTGGTTTTCTCCAGGTTTGCCTGAGTGTCTCCTGAGCTTGTCTTACAGTGCCCTCTGCTGGTTAGTATTCTAAATGACCGCAGCACGCTGTAGTAGAAGGGTTACAATCAATCCTGTTTCTGGGACTTGCCTCTCTCTGGCCTCTCAGTCCTCACCCTGAACACTCCTCAGGCATGCCTGACTTCTGGGCTTGGCCTCTTGGGGCTGACTATATAGCTGTGATGGATGTCTGGGATGTCACTGGAGAAGGAGCCTGAGAAAAAGGGATTCTGGGCCAGTGAGTTAACGGGTCTTGGGACAAAAGAAGAGAAGAAAACATTCCCGTGGCATTACTGAGCAGCAAAGTTGGGAGATTCCCACAGACCACTCAGGTAGAAGGGTTCCAGAAAATCTAGAATTCCAGGAAATCCTAGGCTCAGCCACATCAATGACAAGGACATTGGCAGAGTCATTTGCGGGCTATAAAGTTTAAGGCACCTAGAATGTAGCATTCTGAGTGTCCATTTGGTCAGGCAGGCCGGCACATCTGAGTGTCCCCTTGGTCTGGTCAGGTAGGCTGGCAGGAACTCATGTTCTTACAGTTGAGGAGGCAGAGGTCCAAAGATGGGAAAACCGATTGGAGCTAGTTCTTCATAGCCTGGAAAACAGGACCTGGAGAAGAGTTGTGGACCCACCAGGGCAGTAACTGTAGGGTGGGCTTGTGGACATTGCTTCGTCCTCTGTTGTGTTCAGACCTGGCTGATCACTGTTTTGAGCCAGGCAGGTCACACTGGGGGAAGGCAGGAGCAGCATCTGAGCAAAGTGGAGAGATATTCTGTCCCCAAAAGTTGGGGGCACAGCTCTGTTCAGGGTGCTCACCTAGCATGTACGAGGTTCTGGGTACCAGGCCGGCACTGAAAATAAAAGTCCCATAGAATGAGCACTGGGTATGA